CTTGTGTTCACACATGAGTGAATGTTGACAATGCAAAAAGTTCATGAGTGTAGCCTAGATTAATGCCTAGATTAATGAGATAGATTACAACCAACAGAGATTCAAAAGCATTTAAAAGCATTGTGATGCATTTGGGTATAGCACAAAAACACAATAGTAGATATTTAGATATTGAGAAGTTTCCAGCACAAACACCATTGTAGAATAACTGACCCCAACCCCAAACCTGCTCAAGTAGATTAGCTCTTGTAAGGATAATACTAATTTGATTAATGATGTACAATCATCCCAAACTGCCTGAGAGGAGGAAGTGACAGCACTTCCTGATTCAACAAATGTATTTGGAAAACTGACCGCCATAATAATGTTAATATTAACCATTTGTCTTTCTGTGTTCACAGTTTTATTCCTGAGAATGAGAGTAGACATAGAGCAAAATCCCACTGATAATAAGCCACTGATAATGAAAGTAAACCACAGAGAGATTAAAATGTATGTTTAAGAATATGGCTCAATGCAAATATGCAAACATATTTGTAAATAGATTAGAAAGTACACAGTCTAAGATTAAATAGTGAAAATAATACAGTGAAATAAGTGAAGTGTAAACAATCAGTATTAGAATAAAAGTATAGAGTAATAAAAGTGAAATTAGCTTCTAATTTGAGACTCAGCTTGTTTTTGTCTGTGTTTTGACTGAATCTGCTGAGTTCTTGTGTGTCCAATAGTGTTTGTTTGTTTTTATTTTTGATTTGTTTTTTTGTTTGTTTTTTGTTTGTTTATTTACTTTATTTTTGTTTGTTTTTTTTCCCAGGATAGAGGATAAAATCCACTGATATTGATTTGATGATTATGAGTTTAATGCATACATTTTCTTTGTTTTTTAATAATTTTGTAAAGTTTTTTTTTTATATGTTTTTTTTTTTTTTTCTTTTCTCACTTTATTGATTGATCAAATTGAGTGATCACATGTGATTATGTGATCAAGGGGGTGTTAGTATTAGATAGCAATATGGCCTACGTGCAGGACTGTACAAGGACTCTACAAGGACTCCATGTTATGACTATGATTTGACTGTCTCTTTGTGACACGTATGTCTTTCGATGTGTGACGTGACAATGACTATATAAACTGTGTACTGCCTTTATTCTGTCTGAGAGAAAGAAACAAAGTAAACCATTGGAACTTGAGAGAAACTTAAATAAACTTCCAGAGTTTGGCGCACCACGATCCGTCTCTCTCTGCTGAATCCTCGACAGATTTGGTGGAGAATGCGCGGCTCGGTGTGCGCCATTCTCTGGATTGTTTTGAGGGAGTTTTTTTTGTTTCTTTTCCTCTGCGTGAGAGATCGGCATGCTGTGTCTGGGAACGGAGATTCCAGCAGGCTGGAAGAGCTGTTCCTGGATGCTTCTTGTCGCTTCTGTCACTTTTGTTTTTTAAATTGAATATTCCGACGCGGAAAAGAAGTTGGCAGACCTCTTGAACAGTCCGGACAAAGAATTAAGGTAAGCAGACACCTTTTTTAATATGTAAAGTCTGCATAATTGGATATTAGCTAAATTTAGGTCTGTTTTTGGGGTCTGTCAAACTCTCTAAATTGTATTGAAAGAAGCAGTCTCAGGGTTTAAGTCCCTTGGAGCAGTCTCAGGGTTTATGTCCCTTGGAGCAGTCTCAGGGTTTAGTCCCTTGGAGCAGTCTCAGGGTTTAAGTCCCTTGGAGCAGTCTCAGGGTTTAAGTCCCTTGGAGCAGTCTCAGGGTTTATGTCCCTTGGAGCAGTCTCAGGGTTTATGTCCCTTGGAGCAGTCTCAGGGTTTAAGTCCCTTGGAGCAGTCTCAGGGTTTATGTCCCTTGGAGCAGTCTCAGGGTTTATGTCCCTTGGAGCAGTCTCAGGGTTTAAGTCCCTTGGAGCAGTCTCAGGGTTTATGTCCCTTGGAGCAGTCTCAGGGTTTATGTCCCTTGGAGCAGTCTCAGGGTTTATGTCCCTTGGAGCAGTCTCAGGGTTTAAGTCCCTTGGAGCAGTCTCAGGGTTTATGTCCCTTGGAGCAGTCTCAGGGTTTAAGTCTCTTGGAGCAGTCTCAGGGTTTATGTCCCTTGGAGCAGTCTCAGGGTTTAAGTCCCTTGGAGCAGTCTCAGGGTTTATGTCCCTTGGAGCAGTCTCAGGGTTTAAGTCTCTTGGAGCAGTCTCAGGGTTTATGTCCCTTGGAGACACACAGTCTCATGGTTTGAGTCCCTTGGAGCAGGATCCTTAGTGAAACCATGGTGTAAAAATTAAAAGTTATAATAAAAAAGGAAACGTTAAACACTAAAGAGTGCCTTTTGTTACAAGTGTGGAAAGTGATCACTTCTAGACTTGGATGACAAAAGTTTAAAGAACAACATCAGTTATATTCGCTTTAAAAAGTAATCTTGAAAGTTCTTCTTCTTTCTGTTTTTGCATTTTTGCTAAAACACTACTTTCTGCCTGTGCGTGTGCACAGCTCTATCTTGCTGCCGTTGTCAGGGGAAACGGCCCCTCCTTCGCTACTCCGGCTCTGAATCAGAGCAAAGCTACTGCTTTTAGGATTTCTGGCTTTTCATAGTTGTTATTCCGTTAAATTTGCGAAATTTGCCATTTGAACATTGTGTTATGACACAGTTAAACGTTTTTAAACACCATTAGGGAATAAGTTTTGAATATTATATGTTTTTTGAAACCCAAATATTAGTGCTAAAGCTGTGCAATTCTTTTTAGACCTAACATATTTCTAGATTCCATTCTTTTAAATCTGCTGCTTATTTCTTAACTTTTTGTGAGTTGTGTTTGTTTTTATGTTTTTATTTTAGTTACAAAAGCCGTTTTTCAAACATTTAAATTAGAATCTGTGTTAAAAGGGATTATTGATTATAGACTTTGTCTAAAAAGAAAGAGGGAATTAGGATTAGCTGTAAAAGTATTATATTATTAAGTTGAACACTACCCAATTCACCCAATTCACATTCAAGTGGTGACTTTTGTTTTTGTTTTGACTACACGCCTGACCTTCCTCCTGCTGCTGATGCACACAGCAGAGGAGCCTGGCTCTAAAATGTGCTCCAATTCATATTGACTTAATTTGAAAAATGCTGCAATTATTTTAAATTAGTAGAATAGATGCTGAGATGTCTTGTTTTTTATTAAGAGAGAGTTTCTGGTCTTAAAAGTGTCATCATTAGTAAGATAATAAGTAATCTTTATTTACATAGCGCTTGGAAAGCCAAGAGCGCTCCAAAATTGTTTTGACTTTAGAGAGAAAAACAATCTCATTCACAATCTCTGTTGTTTTTAATTTGACTATAAGGTTGTGTTCCAGAACCAAGGGCACACACTGTACAGGGCCACTGGACAGCAGGAGTGGACACTGAGGGATCAGAACAGTGGCCCAGAGTAGACTCCATCCAACCAGCCGCAGATCGTAAAGGCGACATAGCTACCTCCGTGTGCCCCTCCCCCACTACAGACCGATGGTCGTAAGTGGCAGTGAAACCGGGGCCACAAAGTGGGGTTTTCTGTAGGCAGTGGTGGGTGAGTTGTTTTGCAATCTGGAAGTGTGCCCACTTTGCTTGTTTACATCGAGCCAGTGTGACCTTTGACACCTACAGGTGGTTCGAGGAGTCTGGAGACACAACCCCAAAATTCACACCAGTTTAAATCAATATTTCTCAATATTTCTACAGTAAATGTTTCTGGTCTTTGGTACAGTGGTAGAGGGCAATCATGAGGTCATGAATCCAGTGAAATTAGTCGCACACCTTTTTACAGTAATAAGTTACAGTAGATCAAATGTGACATGTTTTGACTATTTTGGACCAAAATGGCTATTTCAAATCAATATTTCTCAATATTTCTACAGTAAATGTTTCTTGTCTTTGGTACAGTGGTAGAGGGCAATCATGAGGTCATGAATCCAGTGAAATTAGTCGCACACCTTTTTACAGTAAAAAGTTACAGTAGATCAAAAGTGACATGTTTTGACCATTTTTAGGCTATTTTGGACCAAAATGGCTACTTTAAATCAATATTTCTCAATATTTCTACAGTAAATGTTTCTTGTCTTTGGTACAGTGGTAGAGGGCAATCATGAGGTCATGAATCCAGTGAAATTAGTCGCACACCTTTTTACAGTAAAAAGTTACAGTAGATCAAAAGTGACATGTTTTGACCATTTTCAGGCTATTTTGGACCAAAATGGCTAGTTTAAATCAATATTTCTCAATATTTCTACAGTAAATGTTTCTGGTCTTTGGTACAGTGGTAGAGGGCAATCATGAGGTCATGAATCCAGTGAAATTAGTCGCACACCTTTTTACAGTAATAAGTTACAGTAGATCAAATGTGACATGTTTTGACTATTTTGGACCAAAATGGCTATTTCAAATCAATATTTCTCAATATTTCTTGTCTTTGGTAGAGTGGTAGAGGGCAATCATGAGGTCATAAATCCAGTGAAATTAGTCGCACACCTTTTTACAGTAAAAAGTTGCAGTAGATCAAAATTGACATGTTTTGACCATTTTTAGGCTATTTTGGACCAAAATGGCTACTTTAACTCCATATTTCTCCAAATTTCTACAGTAAAAGTTTCTGGTCTTTGGTACAGTGGTAGAGGGCAATAATAAGGTCATGAGTCAAGTGAAATTAGTCGCACACCTTATTCCAGTAAATAGTTACAATACTTGAAAATTGCACTAGCGGACCAAATTGTGTACTTTATATATGTAAACAATAGAGTGGCTATCCTCCTGAGGACTCACAATCTGCAGGAGGAATCGTAGGGGGCTGGTGCTATGTGTACCGGGTGGCATCTCTATAAGGTTTTAATCACAAAAACGTGTCTCCCAGACCCCAGCGCGCTTTCTGTTCGATAAAAATGGGTGACTCCGAAAGGATGTTCCGCTGTTACCGTAAGTTCTCAAAGAAACGCGCACCGTATTTTCCTCGATGCGGGCCGCTTGTTCATAGAGCTGAAAGATGCGGGCCACTTTACCGCGGTGTTTGGGTCAGGCGGTCAAACACTTCCGTCTTCCTCACGCACGAAGAGCGGGCGCACACACACTCCAGTCTTTCCCACACACGGGAGCAGGGAGCGGGGATCGGTCCCGGGAAGCCCGGAGGTGGCTTGAGGCGCGATGGTCCACGGTGCTCCTTTTTGGTGGGAGTTGGAGAGCAGTTACGCCGCTGCGGGACAGGCAAGTCGAGTTCAGCTCGATGGGAAAAGGATCGGGCAGCTGTCCGGGCAGCGAGCTCCAACCTGCGCCGAAGTTGTGGGCCCCTGGATCGCGCAGGGGAGTGGGCCGCGCTCCAAGACGCGGCCCACTGGCCCAGAGAAAGTTTCAAAGAGAGTTCCCAAAAGGTTCACAAGCAAAAGTTAACACACGAAAAGTTGCTGTGTCTCTGTTTTTGTTCCGGCTCTGGGGGCGTGTCTTATGACGTCAACTTTCCGCGCCTCCAGAACTCCTTTCATGAAATCATAGTTTTAACCACATACACGTTACATAGACATAGACACACAACACACCTTGTTCACAGACAGAGCCGGCGCTTCCTATACGCAGACTACGCAGTATGCGTAGGGCCCCGCAGCTGGAAGGGCCCCGGAGAGCGGACTCTTTTTTTTTTGTCATCGCTCTCACTCGTGCAGTTACGAGGCCCTTATTATCCGGAATCACCCATTTGATTGGTTGTTAAAGTTGTCACTTACTGTCTCCCATACTCCTCATACGTTATGTCCTTAAGTAGCACTTTCAACCCTCCCCTCCCTCTCCTCCCTCTACTCCCTCCAACCTTGTTGTTGTCAGTCGCGCAGCCCCGAGCAGAGGCTGAGACGAGTTATGAAAAAAGGAAAAAAAGACAGCGAACTGCGAGAACAGTCGGGTAAAAAACGTGTGGTTGCCGACCCGATGCATTGACTGTCTGCAAAGAAAGTTCAAAATTGTGTCTGACATGTTTTATTTCTGGTTTTAACGAGTCCCAAAACAACTTAATCAGTCAAGCTCTTTATTGTGGTTAAGGTGGACACCTTCAAAATAAAAGTGCTTCCTTTAGTAATCGGAAGTATTTTGTTACATTTGTAATTTAGATAACAGTGTTAGTATAATGCACAACTAATATTTATATTAAGGTAATATACTAATACTAGAGGTGTTAATAATGAAACTAGTTTTTATTTATATTTTATATAAAATATATGTTTATATATATAACTAATATTTGTATTTTGTTTATTTTTGTATTTTAACATGTTTGCACACTGTCTTTTGTACAAATCGGAGTTATTCTATCTATGCCAAATGTGACATGTACATTTCTCCTGTGTGAGATCAATAAAGTCTATCTTATCATATCTTATCTTTTATCGTGTTTGAAAAGTTCAAATGTTGTTTTCTCTTGTGTTGAATCAATCACTAATCAATTCTTATATTGCTTAATTAGTGTGAATTATTTATTTGTGATATATAGGTGTAATGGAACGTCTGCGGGCTTTAATTTGTATGGTTTCTTGAATTAGGTGTAGGGCCCCTATGCTGACTTCTGCTTAGGGCCCCAACAAGGCAAGCACCAGCTCTGTGAATCACAGACAATGGTACACACGTTTTCTGATTTAAGATGTTAGCAAAACAACATATTCATCCGTGGTTTCAGTTGTCCGTCTCAGGTGTATTGGCGTACCGTGTCCACTGGGGGGGGGGGGGGGGGTGGAACGTCGTTGCCGGATCGTCGGCCCATGGGTGATGTCTATGGCTTTGTTTGAGGTGATGCAGACCCACTGGCCCCCTTTGAACTCGCCGGGGGTGGGGGCCAGAGGTGTGCTCTGGGGACGATCACTGTCTTTGAGATGACTGCTGTATCTATGTGAGCCATTGTGGTGCTCTATCCGACCTCCATCGCCTTAGATGTTCCAAGCCGTGTGTTTTTGTTATCTCACACACACGGCCAAAGCTTGGCCGGCTTGCCTGGGTCATTGCGGGGGCAGTGCATTTTATTACCTTACATAGCAATCAAAACAGTGTGTAAAAATAAAATGTGAGCCACTGAACGATGACGTGTTGTCTCTGTCTGTTTGATGAATGAGAGTTTTTAGCGGGAACAGGAAGTCATGGCCATTTATGGAAGAGAGCAGCCGACGCCCCAAACCCTAATGAGTACATGCAGCATACCACAGCCGTGTGTGTCTGAACTGACCAATCACAGAGCACAGACCACAACATACTGTCTTTGGTATACTTTCATCACTATTTGCCACATTAGGCTGAGTACTGAGAGTGGTCTGCAATTTTTTCACTTTTTGGTCCAAAAATACTGATCAAAATATCTTCCATTTGTGGTGTTTGACATTTAGTTACCCCAGCTTTGGATGAACTCAACGTTTTGAGCATATATGATGTCATTGGGCTGATGTCATTGGTGGCTGAGTGGATAGCACTCTTGCTTCTCAGCAAGAAGGTCCTGGGTTCGAATCCCGGCTGGAACAGGGCCTTTCTGAGTGGAGTTTGCATGTTCTCCCTGTGTCTGCGTAGGTTTCCTCTGGGTGCTCCGGTTTCCCTTACCACTAAAAATATGCACAATAGGTATGAATGTAGAGGAGGGAGTGAATGGATGGTGTTGATTGGGGGCTGATGCACTAGTGTGTTTGGCGAATCTCTTACGTCATCACCGTGTGTGGAATGATTGGATCAATATCTGAACTCTGAACACTGTGAAGTGCTTTGGGTGACCTTGGTCTATAAAGAGGTGATAAATCACAGGCACATCAGAAATATAACGATTGAATTGTACATAAATTATGTGCCACATAAAATTTTATCTATTTTTCCATTATCATTACTCTGCATTTCTTTTTGACATAAATTCTCAATATTATATGGACACATTTTGAATATGTTTTTACAATAGTGTAAAAAACTGTATATGATGACACCATGTTACACCATTACTGATGTAAATGGGAAAACTATGCCAGTTGCAACATATAGATGGATAGCAGGCACCAACAAACATTTCTTTACAAATACATTACTGTAGGTTATAGCTATAGCTATTCAGTAGCTATGTACTGTATGTCAAAAAATACTCCCTAAAGAAAATTAATTTGATGGTTTCTGACAAAAGAGCTTATTGTCATCACCATTGTGGATTATTCAATCATAGCAGCACTTCCCTAGTACTGTGTGTGTGTGTGCGTGTGCGTGTGTGTGCGTGTGTGTGAAATTTAGCTCTGCTTTGCTGCCTGTCTGATTCCGTAATGCTCCATCACAATTACACATGCATATCTACTGCCCCAGGCCCACACACTACACAGCTGAGGCAGGACCGTAGTAACTTGAGAGGAAGGAATGGGAGGAGAAACTGGGAGGCGGAACATAATATATGAGGAGTCAAAGTTCCAAACCATACTGAGCTGAAAGACTGGACATACAAGGATATACACACAATGGATATACTGTATGTGTTTTACCCAGAAGACTGATATTTATATTTTTGCCGAGATCGTAATTTCATCCCAGAAACAAGGCTCAAAATCCCCCAAATTTGTCATAACTTCAAGATAGTACAAAAAGAAAGACTATTTACTTTTTTGGTATTTCTCTTTTATTTTTCAGGATTTAGATTCCAAGCCATCATATTCACTTGCAATTCTACTCAGACACCTGTCTACTGCGAGTAGAACAGACACAGTAGGACATTTATTTTTGGACATATTCAAAGTTGTTTTGCTTTCTCCTCTCCTTTTTACCACATTTGACACTACTGCTGCAGGCATAGACTATTACCAACTCCTATATTGGATGCACTTTGCCTGAGCTGTTTTGAGCCATGGAGCTGGACCACTTGGGAAACGGAGGGGTTAAACCGGAGCAGGGAGCATCTTGTTTGTACCGTGTTGCTTTGGCCATGTGCGTGTGTGTCTGCGCGGCTCTGCTCCTCGCACTCATTATTGGTGAGTCCACCTCTGCATGCACATTCTGAATTCAAAAGCAAGAGCAAGTGGTTTTTATTTGCAGATTGTAAGAGAAAAAAAACAGGTAAACTATCATTCTATGTTGTGTATCTATCTGAACCCTATACTAACATTAACCAGGTCTATTGCAGCAGGAAATGTAGTGTATTTTGGAGGTCTAAATCTAGTGTAAGCAATCAAACTAATTGGCTTTAGAGCAGGACCAAAAAATAAATTGGAACTGAATTATGTCTGAAATATTTTTAAAATAGGACCAAACCTAGGTCTAAAGACTAATCTTACCCAAGTCAACTGTAAATATAGACTGTAAATGATCCACTATTCCATGCAGAAAATGTATGTGCACTTTTTCTGTTTGGATCCTATAATTTAAGTGGAACTATGTTGTGTGCAGCTCCAGATTATAGTTGGGGCTCTGACTGTAAATAACCTTAGAGGAGCAGAGGTCTGGTACGGGATACGGCAGGTTCTTCGTGTGTGTGCGACTATTCTTGGGTCATATAAGGTTTCACGTGCAGAGCATCTGAACCATGTTAACCCACTGGGGAGTTCAGCTGAAAGAGGCAGACCATTATATGTATGGGATCAGAACACACAGATATGAGACAGGGTACCGGAACCAATATACTTACTTGAATGGAGAATGGATCTGAAAATAATTTCTAAATCTGCAGTTAATTATTTTATCTGAAATCCTTGATAGTAGTAGTAGTAGAAAAGATGGACATAGCTGTTTCTTAATATGTAAAAAATAGTTAAATAAAACATGCTAATTAGTATCAGCTGTAACACATTTCTGTAACTGTTGTATGCTTTACTGGAAATCTCAAAATTTGAATATTTTTTCTAATCATCAACTTTTAGCTAACATAATGCAGTTATGACTAAACATCACTGAAGTGATAGCTACTAGCTCAATTTTATCTGTATTCCCCTGTTGACAAATTGCAAATAATTGATACATAAAATAACATAAAACATTTTAAACATGCAAGTAAAGTAAACCCTGTACACACAAAGAGACACGACAACACACACCTATCCTGATTATCTTCGTGCCGTCTTTAGGCTGAATGTAAAGTCACAGTGAGCTCCACTCCCTCACAGCCAGAGGTAAGGAGTTCCAGGCCCCTGCTGCTGTGGCTCTGGTGGATCTGAGCTCAACCTCTTCCCACCTTCTCACAGAAATTTAGTGGTGTGGGTGCCAGGTTAAGGATAAACATTAAACAAACAGTTGCAAACTGGATGACACTCTCAACCATTTACTGCATTTAACTTAATTTATTTGGAGCTTCTAAATAGGAATCAGTTGTTTAATTTATGTGTACATAATACAAACATACATTATGTACACATAAATGCATGTGTATTTCACCCCCTAACAAATAGCTGTGTTTTGTTAGGGGGGTGAAACTTTATTTTGTATAACGCGGGAAAAACCAGGACAGAGGGCATATAGTCAAGCGTTCCAAATATAAATTGCTACTACAGAGTGTACAACGGATACTTTAGTCTCCAAGGCCAAAGTTTAGAAGCATTTCCAGTTACTTATCTATTTATATTATGTGTGCTCCTAAGTACTTTATATTCTTTAGCCATAGTACAAGTGCTTTAGTTGTATTTTGAGGCATCTTGTAAGGTAATAATAATGTTTTACTGTATATGTTTCCCATTAGAGAAGTCTGTGCCTCCATAATTCTTGCATCTGAGTTTTATTAATACATGAATGAGTTCCATGTTGTGTGAAACACTGGTACATTTGTTTACAGTATGTCTCCACAGGAGACAGAGTTTAGCAGATGTCACGATCACACACAGACAGGAGTATTATCATGGCTCAACCATAGTTTGGTTCTATCTCCGGTTTCCGCATGCATGTATTTGTTGGGCCCTGTCATGTCTCATCAAGGAGGGGTCCCAGGATGTGTTTGGGCAAGTCCTATTTATTTTAGGTTAGTGGGCGAAGCTTACATTTTTGTGGCAGCATTGAAGTGTAATTGTGTTATACAGAGATGTATGAAGTTAGCACACACCCACTCTCCAAACCGCAACCACGCGGGAAACGCTCCAAATCCTGGAAAGTCAATGGACCAGTTCTTCTTGAAAATCCATGGTCTGCAACAATGGACAAAAACATCCTGGAAAGAAAATCATAAGAGAGATGTTTTGAGAGACAAAATGACAAGCTTAACATTGATTCAAAAAGGTTCATTTTGTCTTGTTAAAATGCTTTTAACATGTTTCGGCCATCCATAAAAAGGACACGCCACTCCGCCCAATAGTCGATAGCATAGGTTCAGTCACATACAATCTTTCCAAAGCACTTGTGGATATCATTAAGCCCCTCATTGGTCAAACACCAACGCTCAGCGTGTTCATTGTCTTTATAATCCAGTTAGGGCGAGGGTTAGGTGTCTGTCCCGGCAGGTGGCAACACCCGCGCTGACCTCCTACAAGTACTTAATTTTAATAAAAGTAGTGAAAACTACTTTTCCAGAAAAGGGCTTTCATCTCAGGGGACTAGGAGGAGCAGAAGAGCATCCAGCACGAGCCCCAGTATCCTTGGCAGACCCAAGGATGCAGGTAACAGTATTTATTAAACAGAAGTAGAGGGGGTTCCTGGGAGGCAAATGTGGTGAAGTAGACCGGGCTATGGCAGGCGGAGGATGAAGGGGGACTGGAGCTGGACACACCGAGGATACTGGAGGAAAACGGAGAAAAACAAAAACACGGGTAAGTACAAGATCAGGTAAGTAACCAGTAGTCAAAAAAAGGCAAAGCGTAGCACCACTTCACGTGACGGAACAATCTGGCACTGGAGAGCAGGTCTGCATGACTTTTGACTGTTGATTGTTGATTGTTGCTGGTGCAGGTGTGCAGCTCCCCAGGTGCAGGTAACGAGGAGTCTGAGGAAGGGAGGAAACAGGAGGGGAGGGGTCGAACAAGAGGAGCTGGGGAATGAGCTGCAACAGTACCCCCCCCCCCCCCCAACGGGCACCTCAAGGTGACCCACCAGGCCTCCCCGGATGGGCCCGATGGAACTCCCGGACAAGGTCTGGATCCAGGATGAGGGAGCGACTGACCCAAGACCGCTCCTCCGGACCATACCCCTCCCAGTCCACTAGGTACTGGAAACCACGGCCCCGCTTCCGCACATCCAGAACCCGACTCACAGAAAAGGCGGGGTGATCATCAACAAGCAGGGGGGGAGGAGGGGGCAAGGCAGGCGGGCACAAGGCACTGGAACTAACAGGCTTTACTTGGGAAACATGAAACACAGGATGAACCCGTACAGTAAGAGGCAGCTTCAAACGAACAATCACAGGATTAACGACCCTTTCAATCTCAAAAGGTCCGATGAAACGAGAAGACAACTTTCTGGATTCTGTCTTTAAGGGTATGTGTTTAGAGGACAGCCAGACTTTTTGACCTGGGACGTACTCTGGAGCTGGACAACGATGGCGGTCAGCAGTCCTCCTGTTGCGGGTGGTAGTCCTTAGCAACGCTCTGCGGGTCTCTCTCCAGAACATCCGGCATCTCCTTATATGCGCCTGGACAGAAGGAATGGCCACCGCCACCTCATCCATGGAAAGCAGTGGGGGCTGGTAGCCTAAGGAACACTCAAAAGGAGAGAGACCCGTAGCAGATGAAAGTATTGTGTGAATACTCAACCCAAGGTAGGTGAGTGCTCCATGTAGTTGGGTTGCGACCAGTGATGCAGCGAAGAGCAGCTTCCAGGTCTTGATTGGTTCGTTCACTTTGTCCATTAGTCTGTGGGTGGAAACCAGACGATAGACCCACAGAAACATCCAGAGACTGGCAAAACGCCTTCCAAACCTGGGAGTTGAATTGAGGGCCCCTATCTGATACAATGTCACTAGGAATACCGTGTAGGCGGAACACATGTTGGATCAGTAGGTTGGCAGTCTCGTGGGCAGTAGGTAGCTTTGGATTGCTCCACAAAATGAGCCGCTTTAGAAAACCTGTCCACAATGGTAAGAATCACTGTATGACCATTAGATGGTGGCAAACCAGTTACAAAGTTGACCCCTATGTGAGACCAAGGGCGACTGGCTAGAGGCAGTGGTCTAAGATAACCAGTTTGTGGACTATGAGGGGACTGATGTGAGCACACACTGGACAGGCTGCAACAAAACAGCGTGTGTCGGAGTCTAAGGTCGGCCACCAGAAATGTCTGCGAAGATTGGACAGAGTACGACTCACCCCAGGATGGCAGGCAAGGGCAGAGCTGTGGGACCACTGCAGGACTTCACTGCGGACTGCTGAAGGTACATAGAGCTTGTTGGATCTGGTTCAGTCTCCTGAGCCTGCTTTACATTTGACTTCACCTGCCAAGAGAGGGCACCAAGGATGTACGAATTTGGGAAAATCGCATCTGGACGAGTGTGTTCTATGGGATCAAATTGACGTGAGAGGGCATCGGGCTTAACATTCTTGGAACCCGGGCGGTAAGTAATGGTGAACTGGAATCGGCGAAAGAAGAGTGCCCATCGAGCCTGACGTGAGTTTAACCTGTTGGCGGACTGAATGTAGGCCAGGTTCTTGTGGTCTGTCCAAACCACGAATGGCTGCTCCGTGCCCTCCAGCCAATGCCTCCACTCCTCTAGCGCCAACTTCACAGCCAAAAGCTCACGATTACCGACGTCGTAATTGACCTCTGCTGGGCTCAACCGTCTAGAAAAAAATGCACAAGGATGAAGACGGTTGTCGGAATCGGAGTGTGGGGACAGCACTGCCCCCACTCCCACATCTGATGCATCTACCTCCACAACGAATTGTTTAGAGGGATCAGGCTGAACCAAGACATGTGCTGTGGAGAACAGCATCTTACGCTTGTTGAAAGCACGAACAGCATCAGTAGACCAGTGGAATGACATCTTAGAGGAAGTAAGTCTAGTGAGGGGTGCGGCCACTTGACTAAATCCCCGAAAGAAGCGACGGTAGAAGTTAGCGAAGCC